AGCAGATCTTTATAAGAAACTAATATTTTTTAAATTTTAGCAGATCTTTATAAGAAAGAATTTTGTTTATAATATCATTTAACATGTAAATAATTATTATAATGTATATCATTAATATCTATATCATGATAATTTGCAATGCTAACTATTTTTCAATTATGAATTTATACTGTTTGCATAAACATGGTACCACTTTCCTCTGATTTATCATATGCATGAGTTATTTTACAGAACATCTGCAATTATATTTGCAAAATACAAAATTATACCAAAACATTTTGTATTCAAGTCCAATGTTTTTTTTAAAATAAATTTAGCATGTGTCTAGAATATCAAAGTCTTTTTTTCCAAAAAACATTAAAAGCAGAGAAATATATATTTAATAATCCACTGTTATTTTTACTCCTATTCTTGTATATTCATTCATATCCCTATTTGCTCAATTTACAGCACTACATTTCTTCGCAAGCTTCTATTCCCACGCTTTATCGAATATTTATCGCGTCGATAAAGGTATCGTAAAAATATATATATTACAATCTCGCACTCAAAAATTTACAGCCTTAGAAAGTTCAGCTTAGAAATTATCTACTGTGATAGATTCTTTCTTCCTTTCAACATTATATTTATTCTAACGTAGAAAATAGGATTATCATAGAGAATATACTGTATCTCTACGTATAATTTTTCTCTTCACTTAGGTTCCCGCCGTCCTAGTTTAGCGTCGGTTCATAGTTCGACCTCTTCGTCTCGTAGCTACAGCGCCCGTCGACTCGAGAAGGAGAGAAACGAAAAGGAGCAACGCCAAGCGCTTCAGGAACTCCGACTGGCAAAGCAGCGGGAGCAACTGCAGCAACAGCAACAACATGTAGTACCGACGCCTAGTCCTAGGACACCTCATTCTACAGACGAATTGCTGCCTTCGGTCGAAGAAGGAAAGGAAGACTTTTACAACGAGGTAAGTTAATTTATATCTTACTCGAGATGCCTGTCGTAATCCATCATCATCATGTCAATAGCGCTTTTTAACGGTGACTCTTGAGAAATAAAGGTAATTTTACTTTAGCAAAATATGTGCGTCTACCGACTTTATATTGATAATATAAAGTATAGACCGTAAAATTAGGCTACAATTGCTATTGAGTCTTAAATGAGAACTGATTGCTTTTTCAGCAGGTACCGACGACTTCAGATGTATCAGACATCATTCCGACGACGACGACGACCATAACGACGACGACGATAACAACTTGCAATGTAACAACAACCCGAATAGGCGAGATTGCGCCTATGGCAACGCCAACGACGTCCGTTTTCGGCACGAGCATTGCGCCACGGGCTTCCGATGACATTTTTCAAGTGTAGTCTTCGTCAAAATATGATGAAGTCAATGGACTTACAATTTATTAACGACCTTTTTATCGTATTTGCAAGAACCAATGGCATCATACAGCACGAAGCTGGAGGTATATACGTAAAAAGAGCAATCACTTGCTCTTAATACGAGAAACTCTAATATAAATAGGCATGCACAAATATCGAAAATAAGCTAAATTCATACTCTGTCTGCATTAATAAGTTAGCTTCTTTGTAACATAGAATTCAATTACATATTACATGAATAATAATTTTTGTTTCCTAAACAACGATTATACATACCGCGATATTTAACGCAATGACTAACTTTCTCAGTTTGTATTTAAAATTATATATTATATTACTTTTTTTAAAGTACTACATTTTACAACAATTCTTAAAATAATATGGTTGATATATATTTAATCTGAGTAACTTAATTTATAATTACAAAGCTCTTTTTTAATTCGCCTTTTTTCCACGTAGCATAATATTGGAAATCGATATTTCGCAGCTGACTTGGTAATATCAACAGAGTATTAATGCAAAGGCACTTTCTGAGTGAATGTACTTGGGCACAAGTGTACTTAAACGAGTTATAGAAGGTGAAGACATAACAAAACATATTTTTACTCGGTACTTGCACAGACAGATAAATATTTACAAGAATGCAGCTAGACATTCAAAAAACAGCAAGAGTTAATGACACAATTAAGCGAAGCAATCAATGTATTGACAGAATAATGCTTTTTTTGGATGACTTGATAGGTACAGACAAAAATATTGGAACTGTTTATATATAATGTCTGATTGTGAAAAAATATGCATTTACGCTTAGATAACTTAATATATTATGCAAGGATTCTCGAAATTGATGACAGAATATTCCGAATTAAGCAGAGAACGAGAAAAAGAACCAAAGCGTTTCAATGCTTTGAAATCATTGAATTGAATTACAGTACCGGATAAAAGTTTTACAAAACAAAAATTTTGTTCATAATATGAAAATCATACGTACATTTCTATTACATAATCGAGTTTCTTTTGTATTAAAACATTTTTAATTACACAAAGATTTATGATCTTACAGAGCTCAGTAAAGACTATTTTTACAAATCAATTACATATATCAGAAATAAACTATATCAAAAAATTTATAACAAGAAAATTCAATTAGTTATTTCGATGAAAACAATTTTATATAATTTACATATAAAAACTTATACAGGATGATTCAAAACAATCTGATGTGTCTCCCTCCTTGAAATATCATATTCTTGAGCGAATTCTGTGACGAATTTTCCTTTTACAAAATTTTATCCAAAGCTGAATTATAATTGAAAATAATTAGCTACTTACGTGTCCGGTACAACGGGCAGGCAGAGACGTCGTTACAAGATTCACTTCATAATTTCACAATAAATATCATTAGAAATATTACTGTTTTTACTGCAATACTTTATTATCACATACGCTCACATCAGTGCTATATTGTAAGTACTATATTGTAAAGTAGAACTACCTATGCAACAGTCAGAAAGTAAACAAACTATCCTTCATAAATAATAATAATAAATCGGTCGTATTTATCGTGGGATTTTATGCCTTAATTTGTGCGGAAACTGATATTTGAAGGGATAATAAAGTACTGCAGTAAAAACAGTAATGTTTCTTGTGATATTCATTGTGAAATTGTGAAGTGAGTCTCATGACGCATTGCGCCGTCCCTCCCTGTCCATTATACCGGACTCGTAAGTAGCTAACTATTTTCAATTATAACTCAAAAACTAAGCTTTGGATAAAATTTTGCAAAAGGAGAAATCGTCTCAAAATTCACTCAAGAATATGATATTTCAAGGACATCAAGTTGTTTTGAATCGTTCTGTATATGTCACTGTATAATTACATATCATTTGAAAGCATTGATTCGCCTAAAAACAACATTACTATAACAATGCCTCGTAATCTTTTTGATTCTCATGATATCAATATAATCGTACTTGATACAATAACAATTATTCTCACGTTTAATAAGATGAATTATACATATATTATTATCTAAAAAGTTTTGAACTAGAAATCATTTTGGTGTCAATATATCCGTTCAATGCTTACATGTAACCGTTACATAATCATTTGTTTAAATCAAGTTGCATAAAACTCACATGTGAGCTTGTAAAATTGTTTATCAAAGTGTGATTACATATCAACAGGTCCTAAAGTATTCCTATTCCGTTCGATTTTGGTCGAATGTGATCATCATAATGAACATCGTATTAAATCTTTCATTGTAAAGAATTATGGTTTGACAAAGAAGCTGTTGGAAGAGAACAACCTCTCGAATGGACCGAGGCTAAATATATTTCTACTGTTACATAAACGATAAAAATCTAAAAATAATCTACTATCCTGATTTAACAAATAATAATATCATCGTAAAAATCATAAGATTTACGCTGCATTGCTGCTATTGCTGATTTTTCTCTTTCAATGCAAACATTCCATTGATCTGTTTTAGATATCATAAAGAACTTTTGACTTATTCATTTATTAAATATGCATATGCGCAATGCGATATACACAAGTTCTATTTGAACAAAGCAAAAGCTTTGATTACCTATAAATAACCATTTTGTTTTAATTGTAACTTAAAAAATAATTCAATCAATTAGTTTACATCTTTATATAATATTACATTATGTTTTTAAATCAAAGTTATAAGAAAAACTTTACTTTTAGAATATTTCACGTTTGAAAATTGAGATGATGAGAAAGTTGTGAGATCTTTTCTATTGCAATTGTATATTTTATAATTTACGTGATGCGAAGTTGCGTGGCTCTAATTATTACAGTTAAAACATAATCATAATACATTTCAAGATCGTTTTACAAGCCTCTAAAATATAATCTTTGATTGCTAGAGTCACGTAAAGTATAAAATGTAGTAATACAAATCATTAGGAGAAATTATCATACGCGATGCGATCACGTTCGTAATAAAGATTTACGGAATCAGACGAACGTCAGAGACATTATTTATTATAGCAAAACGTATATCGACATTCTCGTGTTCGGATGATTTACGCTGCCTTTTCCGAATAAATAATTAAAAAAGGATGAATGAAAAGAGAAAGAGTGCGTCGCGTTAAAGTCCAGAATGTTCATACACTCATATATGCTGCATAGCGTGAACGTTGTATAGGCATATGTATTTACACGCAAATTCACACATGTGTACATTTGACACAAAGATAAAATACCTATACTTACGTGTTCGGCAATGATCGCACCTGATTATTAGGCTCGATTTAGTCGATTAATCTATTATCATTAATGCAAGAGAGGAAATATAAAGTTATATCACACACAGGCTGCATTTTTCCGGAATATTAAATACTCGACTTGCCGCCTGATTTATAAAAGTCGATGTACAATGTTATCGTTTTATCTCTATTTTAAATGTTTACTGTATCATAAGATTGTAATATAGTCGTTGAGCTAAATAAAGCTCGTTTTTCGATATAAGCATATATACCTGTAGATGCGATTATTTCATTTTAAATTTTATAGAGAGAGTATTATAATGACATCATCGACATGATCAAAATGGAAATATCAATGATGATATCAATGGAAATATCAATAGAAAATTATTTCTATAAATTGAAAGCGCGCGAAGCAATTGCCCAGACAATTGACCTTATAGAACTATGTAGAAAAAGACAAAGAGAAAAGACAAAGTAAAGACAAAGAACGAGGCGCAAATACTTAGCAAAAATATTCAAAAGGTTGGGAAGGTTAGTTTTGTTAATACTAACAGGATAGATCGTCCCCATAGTCTCCGAAGTATTTAATGAACCGTATCAATTTCTTGGGACACAGTCACGAATTTCTCGGCGAAGAGATAACTTTACATACAAGTCCTAGAAAAACTGCATACTTATAAAAAAATCATATTTCATAAATATTTTTGATACACGAATTAAAATTATTTTTTTGTTACTTATTTTATTTTTTTGTATTATATATAAATATATAGTACACATTAGTTGCTATATATTTATATTTTATCATCAACTGTTAGTTTCTTATAAACTTTTTTGTTAAATGTTGCGTGTGTTAATATAACGTAAATTAATATAATATAAAATAATGCTTACAAAAAGAGCATGTGTCTCAAAAAGTTAACGCGAGCCTTCCATTATTCAAGATTTTGTGCATTATTAATGGTGTATATTGTTCCTCTCTTTGCCTAAAGATCGATTTAATTTACTAAAACCGTGTTATGCTTAGAATAGCTAATAGCACGCAATCTGAGCTTCGTTAATATTACAATAGTAATGTGTGTCCTTTGTTCTATCTGATATACCAGGAAAAACGAACTATGTACTTGTTAGAGTCTTACACACATTGCTTTCAAAAACTCAGTACTTCAACACTTTCTCTTCAAAGTATCCTATATCAAAAATATAAATTTGATGTAATCATTCACAGTCGTAAACGTATCAATTAATAAGAAGACTCGAGATAAAAGATGGAAGAAGAAATCTCTGTGCAAGTGGAAGACAACTCGCCCTCGATAGAGCACACTTTACGTCCAGTAATATTTGTCTCTTGGTTCCTAGGCGTCGGCGTTGCACGTCCACGAAAGTGTCCTAAAGCTGTTACGATAATCCTACGTATCATTCACTTTGGAGTATGTTCCGCTATCGTGGCTTATGGTGCGATAGATTTCTTCACCTTTGGTAACGTCTTCAAAAGCGACATATTCAAGATTATGTACTACATGAACAAAATGACGTGTTATGTGTCGGCGTATTATTATGTTTATCATGGCATTAGGCAATACGATAAGTGGCCTAAATTAATGAACAAAATGAAGAATCTCGATCATAAGATCAGAAGAGAAACGTTTGTGAACAATCAACCGATAAAAAATATCGAAGTGCTGGCTATTCTCGCGACATTCGCTTGCGGACCTCTATCTCTAATCATACATGCTGTGTATTATTATTTTACATATCCCGAAAATATTTTTGCCTCCGACTTGCTGCTTTATTATACGATAGCTCAATCATTGATGAACAGCTTCATCTTTGATATTATCGTCTACGTGCTGTACCACAGATTTCAAACGATAAATGAATTAATCGTGCAATTAGATAAACAATTTAGTGCGCCATGGATTACGCATAAAATCAGATGCATCAGAGAATTACACACGGGTAAGTGCTCGTCTTTTATTAAAAATATTGTTACAATCTCTTTGAAGATAAATATTACTTTAATATCTTTTATAGCATTATTTGCCCTCGATAGTGTATATATTAATGTATATATTATTATTCACGTAGGATTCAAGATATAATTCAATATGTATAAAATTTCACGATAGTATATTTATATTACATTGTCGAATTAAGAACTCTCTGTTATACAGGAATTTGTGATGTAGTCATCATGATAAACGATATTTACGGTTTTCATCTTCTCCTTTGCTCGGCAAATTGTTTCACCATGGTCGTGGCTACGCTATTTAGAATTTACATGAGCGTTGTAGAAAGAAATTACGCATTCATGCTGATAAATAATATTATTTGGATTTTATACGCTGTGCAATTCGGCCTAATGTGTTGGATCTGTACACTTGCGCGTCAAGAATCCGACAAGACCGGAATAATTATGTATACGATTGTGCTAAATTACAACGCTGCGAATCTTGGTAAGCTAAACAGTACGAAAAATCAATTAAGTCTGGAAGTACCACCGGAAAACCAAGACGATGAGCAAAATTCTAATAGAAGTAGCAGTTATAATCTGAACTATATTACCATAAAAAATCTCCTACGTAAAAACCTAGACCGAGACTGTGTCAGAAACGAAGTTAATGATTTTTCGATTCAACTACAACAAAATCGAGTAGCAATTACTGCTTGCAACTTTTTCGAAATGAATAATGCTCTACTTAGTGGTGTAAGTATACGATCTATATAGAACAGATTAATTTCTCTTTTGTGGTTTATAATATATAATTAACAGCACTATATATCAAAATAAATAATAATTTCTTTTTCAGTTCATCGGTGTGATTACCACTTACTTAATAATCCTCGTTCAATTTTATTGACCTGAACATCGGGACACATAATTCAATAGGAGACGCTAAGAAATTCTCACGCCTTAAATAGCGTTAAAAAATAGGAAAGATGAAGATAATTATATCTTCTTCCTATAAATATTAATTTATATATACATAATATTTAAACTAAACAAATATATATTATTTATTAATTTCTAATAAATATTATAATAAATTTATCATTATATCAAAATTAACTCTTCATAATCTTTAAAAAATAAAAAATTTTATTTTACAAGAAATGAACTAAACAATGTTAGACATAAATAACAATACGTGTTGTAAAATGAGATGAAATGTAATATTGTTTAAGCTATATGAGAGAATAAAGTGATAATCGATTTAATCAACTTCCTCAATGGTTGGTCCGGCACCACCGGCGCCGGGGTTGGGTCCTGCTCCTCCAGCACCAGGGAAACCACCAGGTGCTCCACCGCTTTGATAAAGTTTCGCGACAATAGGATTGCAAATAGCTTCCAGTTCTTTCTGCTTGTCAGCGAACTCTTCCTTCTCCGCTAATTGATTGGCATCCAACCACGAGATAATTTCGTTGCATTTGGAGATAACTTTTTCCTTGTCAGACGGATCAATCTTATCTTTAACCTTGTCGTCTTCCATCGTGGTCTTCATGTTAAAGCAATACGATTCAAGAGCATTTTTAGCAGTAATTCTTTCCCGTTGCTGTTCATCTTCTGACCGGTATTTCTCGGCTTCATTTACCATCTTCTCTATATCCTCCTTCGATAAACGTCCTTTGTCATTGGTAATCGTGATCTTATTTTCTTTGCCAGTAGATTTCTCAATTGCAGAGACATTCAATATGCCTACAAAATAAAATATGAAAATACAGAAAAAGTTAATTAAATAATCAAATAATTTTTAATTATAAAAAATCAATGTTTGAAATATTGAACTTACCATTCGCATCAATATCAAAAGTAACTTCAATTTGCGGTACACCCCTAGGCGCCGGTGGTATTCCAGTTAACTCGAATTTGCCGAGAATATTGTTATCCTTGGTCATCGCTCTCTCTCCTTCGTAAACTTGAATAAGTACTCCCGGTTGATTATCGGAATACGTGGTAAACGTTTGGGTCTGTTTCGTTGGTATCGTCGTATTCCTCTTGATCAAAGTTGTCATGACACCGCCAGCGGTTTCAATACCCAACGACAACGGGGTCACGTCCAGTAGAAGTAGATCTTGAACTTCTTCAGACTTGTCACCGTGCAAAATAGCCGCCTGAACTGCTGCGCCGTAAGCAACGGCTTCATCCGGATTAATGGATTTATTCAGCTCCTTGCCGTTGAAGAAATCTTGAAGTAACTTTTGAATCTTTGGTATTCTGGTGGAGCCACCGACTAGAACTATACTGTGAACTTGAGCCTTGTCCATCTTCGCATCTCTAAGTGCTTTCTCGACGGGTTCAAGAGTGCTTCTAAACAGATCAGCACAGAGTTCTTCGAATCTAGCTCTGGTGATCGATGTGTAGAAATCAATACCCTCGAACAACGAGTCAATCTCAATGCTCGCTTGCGTCGACGAGCTTAACGTTCTCTTCGCCCTTTCGCAGGCTGTTCTCAGACGTCTCAGAGCTCTCTTGTTAGTGCTCAAGTCCTTCTTGTATTTCCTCTTGAATTCTTGCACGAAGTGGTTTACCATTCGATTATCGAAGTCCTCGCCGCCGAGATGCGTGTCCCCGGCCGTAGATTTTACCTCGAAGATACCATCCTCAATTGTCAGGATCGACACGTCGAAGGTACCACCGCCCAAGTCGAAGATTAAGACGTTCTTTTCGCCTGCGGCTTTCTTATCGAGACCGTACGCTATTGCGGCTGCTGTCGGCTCGTTTATTATCCTGAGAACATTCAGACCAGCGATAGCGCCAGCATCCTTCGTCGCCTGTCTCTGAGAGTCGTTAAAATAAGCTGGCACAGTAACAACGGCGTTCGTCACGGTCTTGCCCAAATACGCTTCCGCTGTCTCCTTCATCTTCGTTAAGACCATGGAAGATACTTCCTCGGGAAAGAAGGTCTTCATTTCGCCTTTGTAAGATACCTGGATCTTTGGTTTGCCTCCCTCATTGATTACCGTGAACGGCCAGTGCTTCATGTCACTCTGTACCGTCGCATCATCGAACCGGCGACCGATCAAACGCTTTGCGTCTTTAGAAAAAGATAAAAATTATAAAATATTATAAGTTGTCTTTTCTTCAAAAAATGTATCTTAAAACATGCCGTGCAATTAACTGGAAATGAGAATGTGGATTTTATGGGATTCTGAAGGAACAGTTGCAGAATGTTGAATTAGCCTACTCAAAAAAATATCCAATATTTGCCAGCTTGATATTTATAATTGTAAAGTAATATTGTTTAAAGAAAAATTTTTAAGGGGTTTACTTACCGCAAGTTTTATTAATTGTAAAAATAAAATTACAAGATTTATTACAATATTAAGCGTTAAACATAATATGCGTGTTCGTAAAAATGTATTACGCAATACATTCATTACGTAAAAAATTAACAAATGTCCGATATTTAACGAAAAATATATCGTGTGAATCATTTTGATTTCAATCCAACATGAATCAGTGAATAGCGTTTGTCGCTGGCGTAAATTGGGATTATATAAAACTGTGACGTGTATAAATGTCAGAACGCCTGGCTATAATGTAATGTAAAGGACGAAAATGAACGGACGGAGCAAAGAGGGAATTGCGTGCACAACGAATAGGTAGATGCTATAGAAAGATTGTGCAAGGTCACTAGTAGTAAAATATACAATCGATATGCACTATGTATATATAACAGTTTCAAGTTCAATTCCAAAGAATAGAAAAAAAGTCAAATACTAATCTTGATATTAAAATAATTCTTTGTGTCTCATATGTCAAAATTGTAAAACATATACACTTAATATAATTTTAAAACTCTCTTTAAAATATGATAAAACAACGAAATTCTTATTAAATTACTATGTTGTTGCGATTGCAACATGAATATAAATGTCGCGTTATATGAAAATTTTTCACTTACCAAAAATGGTGTTGCTGGGGTTCATGGCAACCTGGTTTTTCGCCGCATCACCGATTAACCTCTCGGTGTCGGTGAAGGCTACGTAGCTCGGTGTAGTCCGGTTACCTTGATCATTGGCGATGATTTCAACTTTTCCGTGTTGGAAAACACCCACGCAGGAATACGTGGTACCCAGGTCGATTCCAACTGCCGGTGCTTTCGACATTGTTATTCTTCTCTTTTACGAGTAGTCTCTCAACGTAATCAGATACTGAAATCATAATAATATGTGAGCTATATGTGCAGCGCGATAAAAAAAAACAGTTTAATTGATTTAATTTCGAGCGAATAAAGTTGGAGCGATTGAACGTACTTCGCGTTCGAAATAATACGACGCAATAACTCATGTCGTATAAACATCTTACTTCTCGAATAATCAATTAACGACTAATTCAATAATTTCTTTGATATTAATTCTAGTATTATTTTTATAGTTATAAAAATGTATTATGGTATATTTCTAAATATGTAATATATTATTGTAAGAAGAAATAAGTAATATTTATCATTCATTCAATATCGATAACTTTGTGAAAACGTTTTTCCACCACAATCAATTATTGCATCATTGCATCATTCGTCAAAAAAGCTACAATATCTCGAATATTATAATATAAAAATTATCATTTAAAGATAATAATAATAATGCTTTTTAGTTATTCCGAACAAATTCTAATAAAAGTGCACTTCCATAAATAATTTTTTACACATACACACATATACACACTACACATATCCGGATTACAACTTTCAATAAGAACTTATATAATAAAATGAGAAAAAACACAGGTTTGTATAATAAATCTATTAAAATAAACAAATTTTGATAATATCACAGAAAACTGTGCAAAAATTTAGATTTCAACATCTTTAATTTAAGAATGAAAAATGTTTCACGGGAAGAAGTACGATGCATCAGTTTTCAGAAAAGAATTAACCTTTACACTACGATATGATTTTACTTTATAACAAATAATTTAAAGCTAAATGTATATACAGGACACGGAATATTCACCTTGTCGTAACTTTTCTATTACGTAGATGATTTAATCTGCGAGTCGGCACTAAAATGTAGGCACTTGTGAATACACTTGAACTTGTCGCTTGTCGCGTTCGTTATGAGAACTGATGACGCGACCCTCGCGCCGCGCTTTTAATATACCGAATCGCCCGCTTCGAGAAGCTTCTGCGGATGACCAATCGCGGCGGCCCGATTTCTCGAATCCTCAAGATGTTTCGGTGCGTGCGTCGGACGTAGAAAAAATAAAGAGAGATGCGCGTACGCGTCGTACTACGAACGGGATAGAAAGAGAAGGACAAAGATACGAACGTAGGAAAATACTGTGGATCGTGTCGCACGATATAGAATAATCACGGCTATAATTAACTGCGCAAATCATGTTCCTTTCGTTCCGATGAAATATCATAGCGCACCAATGGAATAAAGAATAATTGTTTTGTTATATAAACATCAATTGTCTGCATATAATGAAATCATTCGCGTATTTTCTAGAAATGACAAGAAATAGCGCGACAGTTTGTTCGAAGAAGATCGATCGCGTTTGCGCGGGATTGAAGAATCTTTGATATTCGAGAAAATACGCGATTTATCAAAATAAACTTACTTTTTTACAAAATAATATATATATATATATATATACCTTTATTTTTTCCGATTTTCCAGTCTGGCAATGCTTCGATTCGCTTCACGGTAATAGCCAAACGTTAAACTAAAAATGCCTGTAGATAAAGAAAAACATAAAAATATTACTATTATTATCATATTATATAACTTCTAAGAATAGTTCAGAAAAACATATATGTATGTTGACAACACTTATTATCCTTTTATCGCGACAACGAGAATAATATTCGTAGATTACTATGATACATAATACTGCTAATTAAAGATCTCTTCACATGGAAAAATAAAAATTTTAAATAAAATAAAACATACCCAAATATAAGTATATATACCAATTGAGAGAGAGAAGATGGATTGACAACAAATTTTATTCAATCGAATGTTCGACCGGAATTGCGACACTACATAATCTATTTATATATATATAAAGATCTTCATAAAATATTCCAAACGATTCTAATTTAAGCAAACAGCTTTACTGAAGATGCACGATAAAAATAGCTTTTACGATACACAAAATATATAACAAAAAATTATACCAGCGCCATCTAAACATTTATAAATCCAATTTAGCTTTCGTATTTTATTTATCGTCACAGTATATGTATAACCAGTAGCGGCACTCCGTGTCAATCCTTTTGTTATTTGTGTCTGAAATCACGTGTCATGCCGCCATGTTCTTGGTGGCAATAGCGCGCTAATATTTAAATTGTAAGAAAGGAAGGAGCAACTATAAAAAATTATTTTCATATTATATAAGTAACCGCAATTCATATTTTCTTAAATAGATATTACAAATTTGCAAATGTAACATTAAAGTAACGCAAGTAATCATATGAAAATAAATAAAAAATGAAATAAATAAGTAATAATATTAAATGTATATTATATTATAATATATTATTCCTAATATTATAATGTATTATGTATTATTTTTGTATTTATAATAAACATAGGTAATATTTATAATTTTTGTTTTATTTATAAGCAAATTGATGTACATTTCGATTATTTACAATTGAATTGTGTATAATGTGTCAAATACAATATAAATACAATTCAATGTAAAACTTGATTAATGATTCCAATTTTTTTGTTATCCTCTTCAAAAATGAATAAAACTTTTCAAATCTTACAATATATGTATATAAAAATTAATTATAAAAAAATATGTAAACATTTTTAACATTTGCAAGCTACAATTTACATATTACAAAGAAGGAAAAGTAGAACCAGACTGGAAGAAGAGGCCACAGTATGAAATCTTCAAGGACAAGGATATTGTAACAAAGGGAAAAGAAGAGGATCTGAAGAACCACTTAGGTGCTCATCCTGTCCTGTTTGTGGACCTCAAAGGTTCTACAATTTGTAAATATGAAGATGCATTGGCGCATTGTTACATGAGCATTAAGGATGCTTCCGAAAGGCATGAGGCATTCTTGCTGAAGAATATCCAAAATAAAAATCATAGAAATTTGTGCGAGATGTGGTTTGAATCCAAGATATATCAAGACGTTGGCGAACAAAATGTGAAAAGTCGTCTGAGAGGCTTGTGTAAATATCTATATCAGGCACATGAGGAAAAGCGCGTTTAGGTTCTTATTGATAAATGTGACGCAGTTGTCGTATCTGCACTACGTGATGGTGCTTCTGATTGTGAAGTAGAGCGAATCGCTCAACTTATGTCAACAATTTTGTATCGGATTACAAAGGGAGACATTGCTCAGGCAATGATTCAAGGAATGCTGCTTACAGGAGTTTCCTATATAAGTGGTGCAGGATACACTCAAGATGTCAAAGCAGTTGCATGCAGATTTCTAGATGATACCCCTGATGTTGCAACAGGCTTTCTAAGAAAGAATATTGTTCCATTTTACGGTCTTCATGAAGAACAGCTTGATGACATTTTAAAGAAAATAAGAGGGTCACTAAAACTCAGTGATGACAAACTAAAAAGGAAAAAACATGAAATAAAGATGGACTTCAACGGATTCCACACAAAAATAGGGCAGAAATCCATATACCCTCTCTATATAGTTGCTATTTATTTGATGATTAGTGGAAAGATGTTAGAAGTAGAAGCTCCTCCTCTGCTTAGTACGTACGAAAAGATACTAGCTGATATTGACATTGCCTCAGATATTCTAAATTTAGATGGAAGCTCAGAATTCCCAATCAAACTACAAGCAAGTGTTTTCTAAAGATGCTGAAGACAGCTAATGTTATGGTTGGCAAGTTTAATAATGCACTTCAGGAAGCTTGTGCAAGACATATCTGCAATCTTAAGAGATATTTTCTGCGGAGAAATATAGTCAACTATAGAAAAACGTTGATCTTGTTATATAATGATCTCAAATCCCTTTTCAAAGGGTTTGAGAACCAATATCCGACAGAATATAGCGAAAATTCTTTACAAGGCCTAATGTTTATGGTCCTGAGTAGAACATGTGATATGAAGGAATTTTCTAATATTTCTACTGAGCTATGGATCAAAGATAATAGGGGTCGAAACGGAATAATCGATATCTGGATGTTTGATAAAAATAGGCAATTTGCCATAATGTGGGAACTTAAATACAATGCAACACCACGAGACAAAAAGAAAACTTCTATTTATGCCTTAAATGAATTAAGAGGTCAAGAAAAGAAAGCAGGTAGAAATGATGTGGTATGCTACATAGACAAATTCCAACAATGCAAAGTAACCGAGTATTTTATGGTGGGTCTTGCCATGGATGAAGCATTCTTCCTCATCCGTAATCTCTTAATAGAGATGTGGTGATCTCTGAACATATGTCTATAGTGTGCGCCTACCGCAGACATATGGGACCTACAGTTTAACGCAGGTTCCGAACGGCATAGACTACTCTCGGTGGTTTGCCATTGCCTTCCGAGAGGTGGCGATCGCGAATTATCGAAAATAACATTCGATGTTTTCTGGCACTGGCTGGATTTGAACTCTTCTGAGCCCTTCAGCACAGAAAGCCGACGCAAAACTCTCTGCGCCACGATCGACACGGATGAAGCATATCAACCATAAATTTCTATAGCAACCAGCAAAGTCGAAGAAGCTGACGCAGAATCTTTCATCTGCATTTAAGAAACTAAGACAGAAAATTATAAGGAGTTATATCATCATGATAAATGTTTTGATTTGTTACGTACGAGCTAACTAGAGTTTGCTTTTAATGTAATTCTACCAATCATATTGGCTATTATGTACGAGCTAATTAGAATTTTTTTTTCTTGTCACAAAAGTTGTCAGTCTACTTGATCATTGCAATTTTTAGTTTTTATGTGTATAAAGATCAATTAGTAACATTTTATCATGTTTTTTGTATTTTTTTAGTTTTTGTGTGCATAAAGTTCAATTAGTAACATTTTCTCTTGTTTTTTTGTATTGTTTCTTAAGTGTACAATCCTCTTGGTCTAGAAATGAAATCCCCTTTTGGGGAGAAGAAAACTGAAGGATTGTTATAGAATTTTACCCATTTTTTGGTAATTTTTCAATCCTTTTTTTATTTAAATTTTGATTGGGAGAATTTTATGAAAAATGTGATTTTCATATATTTATGACTTAATTTTAATATTATTCTCTTTAAAATTGGTGTTTTAAGAGAAAGATGTTTGTCCCAATCGGTAGTGGTCTCGGAGTGAAACAAAATTGGGGAATTTTTTGATAAATTGCTTTTTTTTAGTTATTTTACTTGATTTTAAGGTAGGTTTTTGCTTTATTTTGATTTTTGAAAATGATTTGATTGGGGAGAAATTGGGAGATTTGAAAAATTGAATGTTTTGGGCTATTTTGAATATGATTTTCAGTGATTTTATGTGTTTTTAAAGGAAACATTTTTGTCCCAATCACATATTTTAATGATCTTGGTGGATTTTGCACAAGATTTTGTTGATTTTTTAGCCTTTTTGCTATGAAATTGCGAGTTTTTTTTATAAAATCTAACAGTTTTTCGATCTCCAATTTGATGTGGTCTCAGAGTGGCATTATGTACTCTACATTATGTACATTACGATCACTCATTGCACATAACCACATCATGCACTATATACACTTGATATTTTTAATTTAATTTAAATTTTTTAAATGTTTTAAACGTATACGTTTAAAAAATGAATGACGTTTGAATGACATGAATTGATCAAATATCGAATTCATATCGATATTTACGCCATGTTGTCGGTAGTGATGCAACGCATGCACTGTAGCACTTTTCGGACGCTATTTCCATCAAGTGACGCTACTGGTTATACATATACTGTGTTATCGTGTTCAATCGACTGAAGATAAGAAGACTTACTATCGATTCAAGTTCAGTGTCACAGAGAAATTTAATGCATTACATGAAATATTGTCTGACAGAAGTTTAACAGCTGATTCATACAATAGTAATATTAATTTGTTCTCTTACATATTATCTTTTATCGTGACGTAAACCACTTTGAGTATATCCAATCACATCTCGTCGCTATTCCATTTTATTGTCAGTATTGGCAGTATTAGTCGACTAGAACTGGTTGCTTGTCAGACATGACAAGTTAGCCTTCGTGGCTTTCCTGTTTGATAAACTATCATGTAGAAATGATACAATTGTCGTCACACTGTGAGACATTTTAACTATGCAGTACAAATGCAATCTTAGCGTGCGAGTAATATAGTTACGTGCATTATGTGATTACACTTGAATGATGATACAATTTCGGGCTCATGCTTTGTGATTGTAAATATTAACCCACATTCGTATCCAGATATCAGCAGGTCTTCCGTTATGAATGCTTAGTAAGTTTTTTCTCCTTTTTTCTTCTTATGTAAATTTCATTGATTAGAATGCTTGGCTTGAGCTTATCTCACCGGTAAGCGCGTTGCATGTAAGTGCATTGGTAAAAAAAGGGCTTGGAAAATAAAAGACAATAATTGTCATTCTTTCATTCCAAATAAGCTCTATTTTAAATCAATATCTGGTAGTTTATCATATTTCATCATGTTATTAATAGATATCATGTAAATTGGTTATATTTTTGTAAGTCTTATGAATTTATTTTTTTATTATTATTGTTTATGTATAAAAAATAGTCGGATATTAATTGCCAAGAGATATATTATCTATAGGCACCATAGATTTGTAAACTTTCTGCTTTTCACATTATTAATTGAGAAAAAAATTAATATATTTATATTATTCAATATAACAATAAAACTAAACACATATTTTAATGTATATAATTTATTTTTTTTGTAATGAAATGGGAATATATTACATTTATCAATTAAATTTTTTGCATATGTTTTCTTTAATTGTACGTGATTATCATTATATTTAATAATATGTATTGATTAAAACTTACACATACAAAATTTCTTTATATCCTGTATATAGTAACAGAGGTGCACCAGGTATATCAGGAAATACCTTTGATTGTTGGGTTCAAAAATCTAATATGCATGATGATTCTGCTATAACAAAGATGCAACATCAATTCTGGGTAACAAAGCAGGTTTTATCTCGAAGATTGGGAAAGAAAGAGGACGAATGTATAATTGCTTCGGATGCTGAATTGGATGCAAAGCTAGAATTATTCCGCAGTATCCAAGAATCTTGTTCTTATTTACAAAGAGTTATTGACAGATACCAAGAAAGATTATGCAGTGCGTTTTAACACAATTTCTAATAAAGAATAATATATTAATATTATCATTTTCTAACATATCTGTATTATATATCTTTTCTTTAACAAATATAAGATTTAAGGGTAAATTTATAATATTATGGTAATGGAATAATTTATACTTTCTATATAGATTTAGCTCAGGAGGAAAATGCAATGGGACGTTTCTTAAAAGATGCTGGGAAACAAGATAAAACTCGTGCTGGCAAAATGATGTCAGCAGTTGGAAAATCTTTATCTTATTCAGGTCAACAAAGGCTTGCATTGAGAACTCCTTTGGGTCGATTGTATCAAGAAGTAGAAACATTTAGGCAAAGAGCTATTGAAGATACATTACAAAATGTGCAAGCGATGGAAAAAGCCCGTATAGAATATCGAGCTGCTCTATCATGGATGAAAAATATTTCTCAAGATTTAGATCCAGATACATCCAAACAAGTAGAGAGATTTAAAAAAGTTCAAGCACGTGTTAAACAGTAGGTTCCATTTTACACATTCATGTAATACAAATACAATCACTTAATCTCAATTCCTCTCTTTTAACTATTTAACTAAATGGCGCGCGCGCGCGCACACACACACACACACACACACATATATATATATATATATATATATATATATATATATATATATATACCGTGTTTGTTCTTATAAATTTAATTATATGTTTAAAGAAAATTTTTTATGTATCTGTCAATTTAGGGGCAAAATAATTTTTGACAATCTGGCTCTTGACTGTCTTCAGAAGGTTGACTTATTAGCAGCAGCAAGGTGCAATATGTTCAGTCATGCCTTAGTTTTATACCAAACCACACTTCTGAATTTTACAAAGAAATCTGCACAAGCATACTCTACAATAGCAAACAGCTTCAAAGGCTATCAACATTTTGATTTCACAGTTGTACGAGAACTGGCTGAAACTTCTAGTAAATTGGCACAGGAAACAGGTGGTGATGACGATCCAGAGAATAAGGATAAGTGAGTTACAAAATAAAAATAAATGTCATGTCATCATTTTTGTTATGATATCAACTTTTATAGATTACCATTTTTCGATATGGATTATCATGATGATGTTGAGGAGGCACAAGAAGCTACTACAAATTCAGAGAAAACTAAGCAAAATGAAAAGCTCTTAGATATAGAAAATGAGCCAAAAGATATATTAATACATTTAGATGAGACTACAAATTCTTCGAGGAACGGAATTGTGCATAATACTAATGATACAGAAAATGATAAAGGTCTTGAAGAGTTCTTTGGAAATTTAATCTTAAAAAAAGATGTCTCCAATAATACCGGACAATCGATTACAAAAGCCGAGGAAAATAATCATTCCACATTTAAGAAAAATTCTGAAGAGCAGAAGTTAGCAATGGATATATTTGAAGAATGTAATACAAATTTTAATTTAGCTGATTTACCGTTGTTGTCATCAGAAGCTCAACAGCAGCAATCGTTAAATTTATTGGCTTCTGAAAGTGCAGCGTTATTCGATGAAATTCTGAATGATAAGCAACAATGCACAAACAATGATTGGGAAGGCATATCAAATGATACTTTCCTACCACCAAATATTTTGAAACAGAGTTTAGGAGATGCAGCGCTAGGCATGGGACAGAAGAGTACCACAACTAATAGCGTAGACGACAAAGTAAGTATCTTTAAATGTAGTCCAAAATAGTAATAATGTCCTCTTTCCCTCTCCTCTAACATCCTGTACAATTAATATCACAATATTCTTTTCATAGAAAAAGAACAAGACTGGAAAGCAAAAAGGTAACTCGTGGTTGGACTTATTTGCAGAATTGGATCCATTGGCTAATCCAATGGAGAATCTTTCTGGTGATAGTAATGCTTCTGCTTAATTCATAATGCATTTTAATAGTAATATTACCCTGACATTCGGGTTACTTGATATTTATAACAATAAGGAAAACTATCAAGTTATCATTTATTATCAATGAGTATCATAACACATTGAACACATAATTCAATGTTTTCACTTGGTACAAGTTTGTATCAGTATTTACCAGTGTGTTTGTAAACTTTTAAATGTAACATTCCAGATTTTTTTTAATATGTCAATTGTCATAAGAATCAAAACTATTTGAATTACATGAATTTTTTCATATAAGCTAGAGATACATACCAAAGATATAAAATTTAATGTTTATTGAACATTATGCTAGTCATATATATATATATATATATTTTCTTTCAAATATATATTACAAAATCTTTAATATAAATAAATTTATTATGTATTTCTTTATAGTGTTCTAATAGACATATCCACACAAAGGAATGAAAGTATACTACATAAGTATATGTACTTTCTGTTTATTCCAAATTTTTTCCATGATTTTACTTATTCTCTTAACTTTTTTTCGTATTGCGTATCAATCCATAACATCTGAAGCCTCTGCTTGTAAACTAATATTTTAAATTAATAGATATCAAACACATCTTTTTCAATAAAGAAAAAGAAATTGTATATATTTTTTCACATTCCTTTTTGTATTAAATTAAATAAATACTACAGACAGAGTTACAGGCATAGGCTCAGAAATATCAATTTGTTCAATCTTGTTTATAACTTTCAAATACTTATACATCATCAACCGAGGTAATCACAGTATTAATGTTAAAGTCGTAATATATTTCAAATATAAAAAAGACCTTTGAAATCATCCGAAATCTAATCTTCATCGGAAATATGTTTCAAGGCTCGTAAAATTGCGCTAGGGCAGTCTTGACTCTGAAATGGAAATAATAATGAGGTTTGTTAACATACGTTTATAATAAGTGACAATAATGGATGGGGCATAATATTTATCATTCATACTTGTCCAACAATTGAGTATCTTTTGTGTGACGTAGTTGTTGCAAAATACGATAAATTCCTAATTCTCTTAGACGTGCTTGCCGTTGCGCAGAACCGGGTTCGTCTCTCCAGACTAGGTTACATACACAGAAAATCGCTGCGACTTGTAGTTTCACATTGCTATGCATCTATATAAAATATATATACTGTACATATACTATAAAAAATTATATATATATAT